ATTGATGGAAGCCAAGATCGACACCCCGCCTCCCCACCACACATACATTGCCCGTGCACACACACGTGCACGTACACCTGCACACATGCAGACAGACTTTCCATCTGCCTGCAGATGGAATTCAGAAAGCCTGGCCCGGGTCCAGGCAGGGGTCATCAACCTAGAAGACCAGGTTCGGGCCCAGCTTGTGGGCATCTGCCGGGCCCTGCCCCACCCTTTGATAGGTGTGCACATGGGCCTGGGCCTAGTCCTCCTCCAGGAACCCCTGCGCTTCCAGCCCAGAGCCCTGGCTGTGTGCCTCGAGGAGTCCCCAGAGAAGCCTCAGCTGCATCTCTTTGACTGCTGGGTCCCTGGCTGGACCTTGATCAAGGGTGAGTCTTGAGCACCAGGAACTGGGAGTCCATGCCACTGAAGATGGTGCTAAGAGGCCAATGAGGCAGACACAATACAAAGAGTTCTGTGAGCTCTTGAGTTCCAAGATTTAGGGCTGGAGAGGGCCTCAGACCATGGAGATCAATCCTGTCATTTTTCAGGTGTGGAAACTGAGGCCCCAAAGGACTTGCTCCAAGTCACCGAGGTAGTAAATGGTGGAGTCAGGGTTTGAAAGCAGGTTCTCTGCCCCCCAAGCTAGCTCTTTGGTCTCATGATACCCTAAGGAGGTGCCTTTCAGAAACTCCAGGCTCAGGGAGCCTTTCTCCCCTTCCACTCCATCCCATGCAGGAAACCTGGTCACAATGCAGAAGCGGCAACTGAATATGGTTGAGGTCAGCAACTGTGCCCAGTATTGGCCCATCAAGAACTCGCTGGCCTTCTGTGTGGAGGCCAAGAAAGTGATGGGCCAGAGCAGCTGCAAGGTGATAAGTGTCCCTGGCAGGCCCAGGCCGCCGTCCCACGGATCTGTCCAACCCTCCCAGGCCCTCTCCCTTACCTCTTCCTCCCTACCCCCTGGCAGGGAGACCTGGGATCCCCACTGATGTGCCGCCCAAAGCTGCACCTGGAGGAGACCCCCTGGGTACAGATGGGCATCCTCACCGCTTTCAATGAGGACTGCGTTCGGCCTTACGTCTTCAGTCGCATCGGCCCCTTCAGCCTTTGGCTCAAGGCCTCCACGAGGCCCCAGCACCCCCCCTGGGCCAGGCCTGTCCACAGGCCCACCCTCTCTTCCCTGCCCAAGCCTGAAGGTGAGCGAGACTTCCTCTTCCCTTCTGCTAGGGTCCCTGGCCCTGGGGAAACTGAAACTCCCTGGGAGAACTGGGCCCAGAAAGCCAAGGACGGGGTTTGGAAGGGCCCCGCTCAAGAGGCTGAGACTATGGCCCACCTCCAGCCCTGGTAAATCGGATTTCGCTCCGCTTTGCAATGCCCTGGCAAGCTCTGATTGTGACCTGTGACAGGACCATGTGCAGCAGCTCCATCCTCAGCCCTTCCTGGGTCCTCACCTCAGCCCACTGCGTCCGGGACGTGTAAGCACTTAGCTGACGGGTGGCTCCTTGGAGAAGAGGCTTCCACGGCAAAGCAGGGCTCCAAGGTGGTGGGGGAATCTGCGAGCCAAGCAGATGTCGATGAGGCCACTGGAGAAGGGGAGGGGGACGAATCTGGTCATACCATTCGAGGCTGAGTGGGGTGGGATGAGATAGGAAGACCTCACAAGGGGGCCCACTGGGACCATTTCTTGTCCCATGACAGGAGATCAGAGAACATGGCAGTACTCCTGGGGCTGCCACAGCCTGGGGGCAACATGACAGCTGCACGGGTGTCCAGTGTTGTCCTGCATGAGCAGTACCAGGTGGTGAATGGGGTCCCTTGGAATGATTTGGCTCTCATCCTCCTGCAGAAGCCCCTAGGCCCTACCCAGCCCCTGGCCCCTGTGGGCCATGTGGAGGACATGCACAAAGCTGAGTGCTGGCTCATGGGGGCCCGTGAACTCCGAGAGGGTGAGCTGCACTCAGCTGGTGATGGCCTTGAGCCCCAAAGTCAGCAAGAAAAAAAAAGAACGAGACCTCAGCAGCCAGGGAGAGCCAGCCACCTCCCGAACTGGGCTCAGTCCAGCGGTTAGCAAGTTTTCTTTAGATGAGGTCGCAGAAGCCCTTTCGGCAACGTTGGCCCGTCAGTCTGCCTTTTAGGGCTGTGTGATGATCTATTCGTCCTGAGCCAGGCTAAAGAAATGTGCTCATTCTGGCCAGTGGACCCTCCCAGAGCACCCTGCCATGACTCTCCAAAATCCTGTCTCTGGCCATCAACCCTCCCCGTGCAGCCCAGGAGTGTAGCCTGCCGACCTGCCCTCCTACAGTGGGACACTCACTGTTGGTTTAAAGCTAATAATAACCACAGCTCACACTTTACAAACAGGATCTCACTGGACCCTCCCAACAGTCCTGGGAGGGAGGGGCTGTTATGATGCCCATTTTACAGATGAGGAAACAGGTAGACAGAGGTGAGGTGATCTGTCCCCGGTCACCACCTAGGAAATGTCTGAAGCTAGATTGGAACTCAGATCTTCCCAACTCCAGGCCCAAGGCTCTGTGCACTGTGGCGCCCCTGCCAGGCCAGCTGAACCTGCACACCTCCCCTGTCTGGGCCTTGAGTGAGCTTCTGATCACATTCCAATGGAAGGGGAGAGAAAAGGGTTAGAGTTAGACATGGGATGAGGGTTAGATACAGAGGCCCTGACAGACCAGAAGGAGCCAATCCCCTCACTTTACAGATGCTCAGAGAGCTCACCTGACTGGTCCTTTGCCCAGCGTCCCTTGGGGAGGGAGAGAGGGAGAAGGAAGAAGGAAGGACACGGATAAAGAGAGGGATGTGAGGAGGGGGCTTCTCTAGAAGGTCGATTAAATGGAAAAGTCCCGAAAGCCAGAACCAGGAGGAGCCTCCAGCTGGTCATAAAAGCTTATTCCCCTCTTCCTTTAGCCTAGGGCCCTGTCCCATAGATGTGCAGGCAGGGGACCAAACACGTGGAGCCCCTCTTGTCCAAAGGGACAATGGACAAGATGGCCCTAGGCAGATGGAGACCAGCCACAGCCACCCCTGAGCCCTCACCACACCTCCTCCCTCACCCCTCCTGCTCTCATTCTCCCCCCCACCCAGTGGCCCTGCTGTTTTCAGGTGAGAGGGACCAGTACCCACAAGTCCTCCAAGTTCAGGTGAAAGATGCTTTGAGCTGTGCGCACCTCTTCCCTGGCATCAAGAGCTCGGTGCTCTGCCTGG